CCTTAAAAGAGGCAATAGTTCGTGTAAGGATCATGGGATGTGTAGCAGGGTTGGATAAGGATAATTGGGCTGGGCCAGATGTAGAGGAATTTACACAAAGCATGCGGTCCCGATTCCTTAGAACAGCCCCTAACCATTTAAGAGCTACCTTGATGTCATTATTATGTGGAGCAGGTCCAAATGGGATAGTACATAAAATAACAACAGTGTTGGCAGAGCTAGGGGAATTTGAGCAAGAGGAAAAAGGGAAAAGAGGTATAGCAGCAGCTAGCAGGTCTAAAGACGAGAGTGAGGACATCTCCCCAGTTAAACAAATGTCTGCCCCTCCAGTCAAACATAATCCAAACAGAGACTCCACCAAGTATGCTATTTCTCGAAAGCAAATGTGGGCTGACTTGGTCAAAGCTGGTGTTTCTCCTGATGAGATTGATGGCATCTCTACACCTGCTATGTTTGAGAGGTGGAGGAACATCTTAAAAAGAAAAGTGCATGCTGCATATAGGGATCACAGTTCTGACAAGGTCAGCCTCATCAACCTAGATGAGGATATCTCATCTGGTGCCGCCACCTAGACTGACATCAGAGATGACTTTAATTCAGACCAACCCAAGTTGCCCAAGAAACACGTTATCCATTCCACAGAGAAAGTTAAATCTATCTACCCCTCAGAGGAATTATGGGCCATTGCAGCAGCATCATTCAGCTGACATGATGGCGGTTCCCAGGCAGTGAGTATGTTTCCCCTTACTGCTGGGGACCGACACCCTCATGTACCGCTGACTGTATGGTGGGGGCGGGGAGCCAACTGCACCAAGGTTTTGGTTTTAGAGGACACTGGAACTGAAGTGACTGTACTACAGGGTAACCCCTTAAAGTTTGCAGGTCCCATTGTGAAAATAGAAGGTTTGGGAGGAAGGATAACCAAGGCAGTGCAGGTTAATGTAACTCTATCTATTAATAAAGGCCCAAAGTTTGTGACTAACGCACTGATTTCAGAATTACCTGACAATATCTTGGGGATAGATGTATTGCTAGGGCAAAGAATAGAGACTCAGTGGGGGGTGTTCACCTTTGGATTTCCACACAAGCCTTCCTATATCAGAGCTATCAAGGAAGTTGTGAGGGGAAATGCCAACTGGACACCTGTGGTAATTCCTCCTCCTAGTAGTCCGGTAAGACTGAAGCAGTACCGGCTACCAGGAGGACTGAAAGAGATCAGCGAGACAATTTCTCAGCTATTGACATCAGGTGTAGTTCGTCCTGCAGTTAGCCCGTTTAACGCTCCTGTGTTTCCTGTCAAGAAGCCGGATGGCTCTTGGCGCAAGACGATAGATTATAGGGGACTCAATAAAGTGGCACCACCATTAAGCGCTGCAGTTCCCAATATCGTCTGTGTCATTGAGGACATAGCCAAGCAGGCCAGTGAGTGGCATGCAGTGATCGATTTAGCTAATGCGTTCTTTTCTATTCCCATTGCACCCGAGTCACAAGATCAGTTTGCTTTTACTTGGGAAGGACGCCAATACACTTTCCAAGTTGTGCCCCAGGGATACTTACACTCCCCTACAATTTGTCATGGATTGGTTGCAAGGGATTTAAGCCAGCTCAAACTAAAAAACCCTGTGTTCCACTACATTGATGATATCATGATCACTGGTACCAAGGAAGAAGTGGAACAGACTTTGCCTTTGTTAATTGACCATATGACTAAGAGAGGCTGGGCTATCAATCCAGACAAAGTACAGGGTCTGGCCCAGGAAGTAAAGTTTCTAGGAATGATCTGGGACGGCCCTGTAAGAAAGATACCCCAACCTGTGCTGGATACTTTACAGAACACTCCACCCCCAAAGACTGTTAAAGAAGCGCAAAGATTTCTGGGTGCTCTTGGCTATTGGAGGTCATTTATACCTCACCTTGGACTGTTGTTAAGGCCAATTTACAACGTCACACGTAAGAAATCGACTTTTGTATGGGGAACAGACCAAGTTACTGCATTCAACGCAGCCAAAGAAGCTGTTCTTCAACACCAGGGTTTAGGACCCATCAAAGCTGGAATCCCTTTCCAACTGGATGTGATGGTGACAGAAAATGTAATGTCTTGGGGATTATGGCAGCCACATGAAGTCAAAGGCCAGAGGGCAATACCAATTGGGTTTTGGTCCAAGCAACTAACTGGGGCCCAACAACGGTACTCTCCTTTGCAAAAGAACCTGTTAGCTGCATACACAGCACTGCTGCATGTGGAAACCATAACACTACAAGCACCAGTGTCAGTCCGAACGGACCTACCCATTGCTGGGTGGGTTCGGGATGACTGTTTACCCCTGAAAGCTGAAGTTGCCCAAAGCCAGACATTGTTGAAGTGGAAGTGGTACCTGCAGGAGAGAGGAGGGATACAGGCTGGAGAAATTAAAGAACTCTCTAAACTCTTAAATGGCTTAGTGACATACAAGTCCTTGTCACATCCAAACACCTGTGAAATACCAGTACTGCAACCTTCCCCTATCAAGTCAGCTCCGCCCTATGACAACTTGACAACAGAACAGAGGCATGATGCCTGGTTCACTGATGGGTCAGCGGTGTTGACCCATAAAGGAAGAAGGTGGACAGCAGTAGCCTACAACCCTCAACAGGGGAAGATTGTGCAAGAGCAAGGCAGGGGTGGATCAAGTCAGTATGCTGAGCTAGTGGCAATAGCATCCCTGCTGGAAGAGACTGACTCACAAGAAATGCAGATCTATACTGATAGCTGGGCTGTTTACAAAGCGTGTACAACCTGGATGCCCACCTGGAGAACCAATGGATGGCTAATTCATGGAAGACCAGTGTGGGGAGGTGCAGAATTATGGGAGAAGATCTGGGTGGCTGCCCAGACCCGACTGATCCAAATTGGACATGTTGATGCCCACATAGCTACTAACTTGGATGAAGAGAACCACAATGCTGTAGCAGATGAGCTGACAAGGATCCGAAATGTGAAAGCTAGTGACCCTGTAGATCCGGTGCTGTTGAAGATGGCAACCTGGGCCCATGAAACTGGAGGGCACAGAGGAAACAAGGCCACATTGGAGTGGGCACGATCAAGAGGGATGCCAATCACCTTGGGACTAGTCACCACTGCTCAACAAGTGTGTGAAGTCTGCAACGAAGTGAAGAAGTGGTCACTCACCACACAGACTCGAGGGTATCTAAAGAAAGGCACATCAGCAGGCCAGATATGGCAACTCGACTACATTGGCCCGCTACCCAAAGGAAGAGGAGGACTCCTTTATTGTTGTACTGCCATCGACACTTACACAGGATTGCTACAGGTGCTACCTTGTAGAAGTGCCAATCAAGCCGCTACATTGAAGATCCTACAGATAATCGTGATGGCTTATGGGATGCCATCTGAAATTCAAACAGATAATGGCACCCACTTCACAGGACAGCTGGTACAACAATGGGCACAAGACTCAGGGATTAAATGGATATTCCATATCCCCTATCATCCCCAAGCTGCGGGGTTGATAGAGCGGTGCAATGGGCTTCTAAAAGAACAAATTAGGAAGCTATCCCCCAGTAAAACGCTAATGGGCTGGGATCGGGTAATTACCCAAGCGGTAATGATATTGAACAATCGACCAATCGGACAGTTCTCCCCTTATGACAGGTTGACCAGACAAAATGATACTCCGACTGTAAACATGAGACTAACATTCACAGGTGACATTCCTACATTGGTAGGAAAGAATAGGTTTAGAGTAAAAGTCCTCTCCTCTGTTAAAATAACAGTAGAAGGGGAATGGCAAACTGTGACTCTATCCATTGGAGGCACCATGCCTATAGGGACAGAAGTCACATTAATTCTCCATGAAAGGTTGGGGAAAGATGGGTGGACAACCCCAGGTGTGGTGAATACATGTGGAAGTATGTGGAGTGTACCTATGTCTAGAGGTGGAGGTGGTGAGTTGTGTGTAGGAACGGTGTTGGGGGAGATAGCCATTTGGGTACCTCAAACAGTGTTAGTAACATGGGACAAGACTGAGCTGATTCAGGTAGGGTCCAAAGTTTGGGTGCTACCTAGAACTAGCGAGCAACAAAGGCAAAAGGGAGAAATAATTTCAGATGGACCTGGTAATACTAAGGTTGTGTTATTATGTGGTGATATTAAACCTGTTTTCTTTCCTTCCAGCAGGCTGGTGGCAATTTAAAACAATTGAGCCCATGGTCCTCTAACATCTTTATGCAGATCAGAGCTGTAACCTTTCTAAATCAGTATCCATCAAGAAAGGAGTCTGGCCTTGGTTGGCAACGAGTGCTGCAGCTATCCTGTTAACCATGATTTGGTCACACTTACTGTTATTTTGAAAATGTTACAGAAAAATCATGTACCAGACTGCTTAGGTGTTTTGAGGAGATGAAATTAGGAATATGGTTGCTCATGGGCTATTTGGCCACATTTTCCACCATACAGGAAACATTACATGAAGAATCATATACCGAATTGTTTGGGGAAACATGGTTTTCATAGACTGTCAGTAGCTGTGGTTATATATTAGTATTGTTTTGTTTTGTTTGTTTTGTGTGTGTGTGTGTGTGTGTGTGTGTGTGTGTTTGTGTAGCCAGCTGGGTTTAGGGATTAGGACTTTTAACTTTGCCATAAGTGGAAACAGCGGTGTAGAAGATGATATCTATGGATAAGACCAAGAGGTGGATTGTAATGGACACGGGTTTATTATGGTCTTATTCATTAGAAATCACTTAATATAGTTTATTATGTTGAGTGCCATTTTTGAATTGTACCATTAGGGGGAGTAGTGAGCACCCTTTTGGAGACTTTCTTTGTCTGAGCCATGCGGCCAAGATGGATGCCTGACTCCTCCCCAATCAATGGCACACAGGGATTGGGTAAGGAAAGTCACATGCTCAGTCCCTTTATAAGGTGAAGCCACGTGCTGGAAGGGAACCATTCTTTTTCCAGGCCGAGCATTGAACATCTTGCAGCTGGCAACTGATAAGTATTTGTATCGCTGTTTTTATTTTTAAGTTTAGTTTTTATTTTAGTCTCATTTTAGTTTAGTTTCATTTTAGTTTAATCAAGTATTATTTGGTGGTTTGATTAAACGGAAAATCATATTTTTTGGATAACATTTTGGTAGGGCAAAATCATTTTTATTATACAATGGTTGATGTGTATTTAGCATTGTGAGATTATTGCAGTTAAGATTGTTGTAGTATTGCATTGTTAGTTAAAGTATATAATATTTGACAACTGTTTTATATATGTGTATATATTGTTTCTTTATGCATGTATATTAAACATTATATATCTTTTACACAACTACCAAGGTGTGTGTCAGTTTGGATATTAATTGTTAAATCATATCTCTTCGAGTGTACATTCTTTTTTGGGTAATACTTTCAGGAGAGTGTTATTTGACTCCCATTGTGATGCATGCCACATGTGACTAACTCCATTTTGGAATAGCCCACATGGTGAGTAGACTCCATTTTGGATTCATCCTATTTCATTTGTACTTTGGGAGCAACATCTAAATTAAGATATACCAGTTAATAACATATCTGGTATTAATTTAGATATTTGGAACAATTAATAAAATTCTCAGTATACTAGCGATAATTTTCCGTTTCAGATGGGAAGACCCACCATCTAACTAAAGACATAGCTACAGTTTTCAAAGACTTTTACACATCCCTTTATGGACTACCAACTCCCAATACAACACCAGAGGACAGACAACAGTACCTACAAAACTACATATAAGGTAAAGTCTCCTCAGATGCAAGGAAAACCTAGATAAACAATTTACATATCAAGAACTCCAAGATGCAGTTGAAATGTCACCCAATGGCAAGAGCCCAGGACCAGATGGGTATACTAACAAATACTTTAAACTTTTCCTTCCACGGTTAGGTACACATTTGCTACCAGGCCTTCAACTCTATTAACATGGGCTCCACTTTTAGTCCATCGGTGCTAGAAGCCAACAGCACCATTATCCCTAAACCCAACAAGGATCACACCAAATGCAGCAAGTATAGGCTAATCTCATTGATTAACAATGATATTAAAATCTTATCTTGCGTGCTGGCCAACCACATTAAGCCACACCTTAAGGGATTAGTCCACCCTGACCAGGCAGGCTTTGTCTTGGGCAGGAAGGCCAAATATCTGGTTCAACAAGAAGCCGAGATTAGCTTTTTCGATACTAACTAGACAGAAATGTAAAGGGGGCTTAGGGCTGCCAGACCCCTTCAAATATTACTTAGCTACCAAGTTCACTAGAATACTGGAGTGGTGTAACCCTAACAGTGCAAAATACTGGAAAGACATAGAGCAATCTTGGGTTGACCCACCCCTAGCCATGCTCCCCTGGCAGACTACACCTATCTCCTCCCTATGACCACGACAACACCCCACTATTACCCCCCTGCTCCATTTGTGGAGGAAATTTGTCAAGGGTTGCCACTAAGAACAATATCTTTTAACCCAATCTTTAATCCAGGTGTGCAAGGCCTACAATGGCCCAAACCTCCTTAACTTTTCTACGTTTCTTTGCAAGATGTTATTGACGGACGCATGATCCATGCCCATCGTTCTTAAATAAACTTCAATATCATTAAATGGCTTAATTCACCACCTCTGCATTCAACACAAACACACTCACTACACCCACCCTCTTTGAGCAGTGGTGTTCTCAACCTCATACCCATACACTCTCATAATCAAGGTTTATTCCCACTTACAAGAAAATACAAATACCACACTTCCCTCTCACTTCCACAGACTGGAATAAAATATTTCACTATGCTCATAGAAATAGTATGGATGTCTCTACGATAGAGATGAATTAAAAAATTATTGCCAGATGGTATCGCACTCCGGACCACTTGCATACCATTTTCCCCCAGGTTTCAGAGAAATTTTGGAGATGAGGGGAGGGGAGAGGAACATTCTCCCATATATGGCGGGATTGCCTTATCATCCAGGGTGTGATCCTTGTCTGCAGATAGTACAGTCCTCTAGGGTAAACAACAGGCACAGTCCTTTGGTTTTCATGTAATCCAGGCAGTTTTATTGTTAAACTCCACCACAGCTACAGCAGCAAATGAAAAAAACAATGTCACAAGCGTGGGCTATAGGCCCAGCCGAGACAGTGGGGAGAGTGTGGAAGTGACAGGGTTAATGACACCAGACCCCTGGTTACCTGTTGCTAGTCCCAGCAACCACTCAATTAACCCCTGCAATCCCTTCTACACTAACCCCCTTAGTACACACTTTACTGCCACCACCAAGACTTTTAAACCCGGGCGTCTTAGGTTACCCCACACACAGGAGAATTATAGTATCACAGTTCTACTTTTACTGATAAAACATATATAGTTAACCCTTTTTGGTAACGTGTTTACCTGAGCTTTCCTCTGGAGAGTGAAGCTCATAGAGAACAGAGACACAAGCTGATTAAGTAAACATTTAATCTGACAAAAAGGATTCACAGTGCTGAGTACAAAATACAGAAATAAATGACATACAGATAACAAATTGCAAAACAGTACATAAAATAAAATAGGAGAAAACACAAGAAATTCCTTACATGTAGTTACCCCATATAGAATTCTTGTTGGAGTGTTAGATGGTATAGGTCTCCTAGAAGTTGCTGACAAAAGAAAAATGAATAATTGACTGGATAGTCGAGAACCTTCATTAATATATCGAAACTAGTTATTGCTCAGTGGGCAGACCCCTGGGGGGGATCAGAGGGGTTTGGTCTGGCAGTTTATTGCCCACTCTATGCAATTCCTTGTGTCCAGCTCTAGTGATGGCTATCTAGATGTTTTATGGTCTAGGCCTGGTGCCAGATCAAAGACCACAATAAACGTCATCCCAAGGTTTACAAAAAAACAACTCTTAACATGTATCAATACATCAAACACCAACTCATGCTTTTGGCATGACAAACAACAATAACACAAATCCCTATAAACAAAAGCCTAGCTCGTCTGAGCGCTAACTAACATCAGATTCCCTCTCTCTCAAGGGTTAAACTAGAACAAAATAATATTTGGGTTCACCAACCTATTGCCTTTGTCAGATCTCTGCACTCCACACTCGGTTAGCATGTGGCTTCCATTCCTTCTAGAAATAAACAAAATTCTCTCTCTTTTCTGTACTCCCAGTGCTCCAGTCTCCTTGACTCTCTCACTGGAGAGAACAGCCTTGTAGCGGATGGTACTGGGCTGTCCTGAAAATTACATGTGTATAACTGCATTCGGGTAAACTGCTGGTTGTGTTTGTGTTTAAATAAAGTGTATTAGTCTGATTGTTCAGTAGAATCATTTGAATAAACTAAGGGAATGAAACTACCGAACAATCAGACCTCCCCTGTGTGGTGTGCCTTCAATTACCTGTTGCAACAATGTTGCGAACGGGTAATTAACAAGCTATGCAGTAGGTCCTTTGTTCTCGGGGTGGCCACCATTTGGGAAACGAACACGTGGTGGCGGCCATTTTAAAACTCCCGAACAGCGGTGTTTTGCCGTCTAGTGTCTGGAACCCAAATCGGACACTCGACTAAGCGAACACAGCTGAGACCTCCACAAGCCCGGTCCGTTCGGTTCCAAGCTACTGAACGGCCCCTCGTTCGGTAGACAGAAACAACCGAACGAGGGGATTCAGGCGAACCCTACCTGATCTCTGTAGCTTTCGCCTTTCGTGTAATGTATTCCCTTATACTGGGACTGACACACACACACACCACCCTCAAAAACACACAGCACCCTTACACATACACACACACACACTAACAGCACTCTCACACAACACCCTTACACACAGCACCCTTACACATACACACACACTAACAGTACCCTCACACACACACAGTGCCCTTACACACACACACACACACACCACCCTCAAAAACACACAGCACCCTTACACATACACACACACACACACACTAAATGCACCCTCAAACACACACACACACAGCACCCTTACCCATACACACACATTAACAGCACCCTCACACACACACAGTGCCCTTGCACACACAGCACCCTTACACACACACACACACACAGCACCTTCACACACACACACAGTGCCTTCACACACACACAGTGCCCACCTACACACACACAGCCCCTACACACACACACACACACAGCAGTATATATATATATATATATGTATATATATATATATATATAGCGTGTGTGTTTGTGCTTTAGGGTGCACACCCTTTTGCAATAGGCTGTGCACGCCTATGTTCCTCACCCTGGGTTTTTATAATTACTAAATGCTAACTTTTAGTTTTTTACTATTTTGGCCACATTTGCAAAGTACCACAGTGGTTTCTTAAATTTATTGCTTTTACTGACAAGTCTAATGCAGTTTTCTGTTGCCTTCAGCATTGCAACTTTTATATAATCCCATTTCTCTTGGACTCTATTTAAACTGATCCATTCTGATAATGACTCCTTTCCACATATTCTAATTTTAGAAAGGTCTATTTTTCTAAAGTCTAAAACTTTGTTTTTGTGTGATGTTACTCAGTCACTGTTCTTATATTAAGCCACACTGACTGATGATCACTGGATCTTAAACTTTCACCTACTGTAATATCTAATACCAAATCTCCATTTGTTAACACTAAATCTAGTATGGCCTCCTTACGAGTTGGTTCCTCAATGACTTGTTTTAGAGACAATCCCAGTAGGGAGTTTAGAATATGTATGCTATTGGAGCAAGCACCTATTTTGGTTTTCCAATTCACATCAGGAATATTAAAGTCACCCATGATGATAACTTCCCCCTTCATTGTCATTTTAGCTATTTCCTCAACTAGTAGATGATCCAACTCTTCTATTTGTCCTGGGGGCCTATAAATCACACCTACACGAGTTATTGTGTGATTACCAAATTCTAACATAACCCAAATGGACTCTATGTTCGCCTCACTAACTTTTATTAGGTTAAATTTTATGCTATCCTTCACATACAGGGCCACCCCTCTTTCTTAACACACTTGCCACAAGCACTTTCTGTCCTTGTTTTGTGGGGCAATTGGATATTATCTCCCTTTTGCCCCTCCCCCCTTCTAGTTTAAATACGTCCTAGCAAAACCTCTGAACTGCTCACTGAGAACATTTGTTCCCTTTTGAGAAAGATGCAAATCATCTTTTTTTGTACAGATTATTTCCATTCCAAACAGA